TGGGGGAGGGTGGGGCCTTGGGGGGTGGTGTAGCCTAGGCCTAGTGTGTCGAGTCCTTTTCTGGGGTGTTAGTATTTTTATTGTGGATAGAAATCCCAGATAAGCCCTTCCAAAGTTCCAAATCGACTGAACCTAAAATCCCCGACACGCACCCCTTTTTAAGCGAGTTCCTCGCCTCTCTCCCCTCTCCCCCCAAAGTCCCCAACCCCAACCCAAACAATAAAATAGGAAAAAGACATCAACATACCATAAACCCCCACCCCCTCAAACCCAAGCGCCTTATTGAGCCCCAACTCATTCTGCTCCCCCATCTCCCACGTACTAGACTTCGTAAAATCAAAGAACCCACCCCGGGAATCCGCGCAGTCGGCGGGCACGCCCGCACTGGTATTACACGCCCCCGCCGCGGCACCGTAGACCACCCAGGTTTCCTGCCAGGAGGTGGCGGGGAGGACGCGGAAGGTTTGTGGGGGCGTGCCGACGCGGATGGTAAAGGTGGACCAGAGGCCGTCGGGGCCTTCCCTGGGGTTGTTTGTTAGGGTTGAGTTACGGAAGAGAGGAGAGGGTGGAGGGGATTGGGGATGGGGAAATCGTGATGAGGGAAAGGAGAGGACGAACCAGTGTTGACTCGGCACCGCAACGATGGGAGCTTTTAAGGTGATGTTATCCTCTTCCCTCCTCTCCATCCCTCTCATCCCCACTAATTCCCCATCTTCATCGGTACTCGAAAAAGGGACCGCAACTGCGGTGCAACACAGAACCCACAACGCAATCTTGCTGCTCGATAACGAGTGCATAACGTGGTGTAAGACAGAAAATACAATACAATATAACATTACTTTTCTTGGAGAGGGTCATCAATGCGCTTGTACAAAATCATGTATCAGGCCATATTTCGCGATGTGTGTATGGGCATTACATGCTCTCTCCTGTTTGAGATTTCTAGATTCTTGATGAAGAATGAATGTACAGAACAAATGAGACGGGACTGGATGAACGAGGGGAAGATGAGCTCATAGAACAGGGGCCGCGAAGTGGTGACGGCAGGTACCAAATAAAATACTCTTCTATCGAAGAATTGGATTTGTTGATTTTTTGGTTATTGGTTGGGGGATGAAAATGGAGAGAGGGGATTGGTGGGCATGAGATGTGGGGGAGTATGGGGTTGTACTGCAGGTGGGAAGTGAGGGACTGGGATGTGAAATGACGTTTGGGGGTTTCAACAGATTTTGTGGGGGTGTGAGAGCGAATCGTTTTGATTTTGGTGGTGGCTGGGAGAAGGAAGAGAAACTGGGAGATGAAATGAAAACTCAATGCTGGGAGTGCTGGAAGGGTAGGAGTAGTTGTTTCGAGATGGGTGATTGAGTTGTATTTGAGATGTGATAATTATTTGAGAATAAGACATTTTGTAATGAGGTTTCCTGGTTGCAGTGGAAAACTCAAGTTATGGCACAGAACACTTCGTAGATTGCAACTTGTCTGCTTGAATAGTGCCTCCACTGCCTCATGCTGTCATATACCGTGATAAGATACTGTGGAGTATGGTTGAAGTTCATTTGAGCTCTTGACTTCTCTCTAGTCACTTGTCTTGTCTAGACTTCTCGAACTTTCTTGTAGCTGCAGTGCTTATTGCTTCGGCAGTCGAGGGGCTTAACCAATCAACCCACGGACCTGTGAGAAAGACACCAAGTCAGCGCAGAAGAGAGCTTTGTGATATAAAGTCATCTTCCGAAAATCGTAGCAAGAGTACCTCATGGCATAAGACTTGAAGGTTGAAATAAAAATTTCAAGAAAAATATTCGCGTGGCAAAAAGAGATGGCGATATTGCTCAGCATAATCATAGCAGAGCCCCAAACCAATCATCTCCAGCTTCAATAATGAAGTCATGAAAAAACAGGCCAAACAATACAGCACACCACGCCACCAAAAAACCATGCGACACGTCGACGTCTCACCCCTGTAATTTGGGCATCCGTTTGCATGTCTGGCGTGTTTCTTCAATATTTCAAAATCAAATTGATATTTTAGGGTGGTATCATGACACGGTATCGGTGCAGCACGGATACCTGCTTTTCGACCCCCCAAAAGTTGCACCAGCTGAAAATTAACCTTACGCTGCGATCCGTTTTGGGAGATTTTGGATGCTTCTGGCCGGGTGATCGGCGCATGGACATGGATGGTTGCCGACATGGCAATTCAGGAATGCCATCATCCAGAAGGAAATTATGAGAGGAGCCGTGCAGCGAGTTTAAGAATGATTCTGGACTGATGGGAGTGCACGATATGTATGGGGAGATGAAGCATTTGATAGTTGATGACGTGCATTGATTGAATTGAGGGGAGAAAAAAATGTGATCTGGTGATATCGATAAAAACACCTTCAGATGCTCTTCTTGACTCAAGCAGGCTCGGTTACGTCTTCGTTGATGCGGTGGCGTGGTGGAGATCCAATAGTCGTCGAGTTCTAGTAGTGAAGGATACTAGTGAAGCCATGTAGCAGATGAAAGAAAAGAGACAGATGGACACATTTTGGCCGCGAGTCTGAAAAAAGCGGAGGATCGAAAGTGAATTCAAGGGCGGCGGCGGCCTCAAAGCTCCGGAGCTACCCCTGTCAACTACGTCAGTGGGAAAGCTTCCATGAGCCTCTCTCGCTTTTTACAGCTGTGGTACGCTGTAGCAACAAGAAAAACTTGCCTGTACGAGGACGCTACGCTACGCAACGCATACTGATACCTGCAAATTTCAGGGCATGGCCTGCCAAGGAAAAGGTCAGTGGCTCACAGCCTACAAACGAAGAAAGGGCGATGATGGAATAGTTTGGTTGCCAATAATCTCAAGAAGCTTCTCTCTTAACCCACTGCCCAGCTGCACCTGCCTGCACTCCACCCCTTTCTTCCTCCAACACAACAAACACTGACCACTCTGGATAGACAACATACCAAAGCAACACAACACAACCCAAGCCAACATCTCTAAAACATCCATACATTCCCCGTCGCCATCTGAGGAATTCCATCGCACCACCATCATCAAATTCCAGTCTGCGAGAACTCTCTCGCTCGACTCCATCTATCCTTTTTCTTCTCTTTTTTCGTTCAGTGATACCCACGATACCCAGCCTTCTTAATCATGACGTCCGTCAACAAACCCACCAATATTCAGGAGAAGGAGGCAGATGTCAATCGCAAGCTTCAACTCTACGGCATTGCATCAGGTACGAACATCTCCCTTTGCTTTGCATGCGCTCCCGACTAATGTATTCTCTGTAGCTTTCCAGGCTGGCAAGGTCCCATCCGTAAGTAAATACCGCCCTTGATCGCGATTCATACTCTTCGAACAACTACCATGCTTGGGAGGGAGAGCTGGCGCAACAAGAACTGCAATGTGATGGGAATCTGGGAAGAAAGGGAGACACTGTCCAAGGTGTTCCCTCTTCTTTCACATCAATATCATTTCAATGATCGACGATTGTGCAATAATTGTGTGTCGCGTCATTGGTGCTCCCTTGGGTCACAGCCAGCACCAGAATCGGGAAAATGATTTCATTCTTGCTACAGTCGCACAGAATCAAATGAAAAACCACTAACATCGTTACAGAATGAGCAAATCGACGTTGCGTTGAACAGCTTCCTTGCCTCGAAACCACTCGCAAATCCTTCCAACAGACTTTCGCCAGAGGGACAAGCTTTGGTCAAAGACTTCCGCAGTGTAGTCGAGCAAGCCAAACACCTTCTCCTCTCAAAGAATCAGGGTAATCTTCTCCAAGATTTCATCTGGGAATCTCAAAAGATCGATGTTGCAAACACTGCACTTCCCGGTGCTCCTATCGGCAAGGATGAAGCCAAGCAACACGGCAATGAGGCGTTGGAGGGGTTACGAACACTCGGAACATTGATCATCAGCAATGGTCAATTCAGAAAACTATGTAAGTTGTTTTGTTTAGCATCACAAGCTTTGCCAATGATTGTGCCAAGCTTTCTTGTATATTTTGTTGAATCCTTGAAATCATTTGGGGAATGGCATGTTGAAATTGTCAATCAAACTAAACCTTGAGCGTCGATGACCATACTATCCCAGTTTTTGTGAAATCGAGTCATTGCTCCACTCAGTTCCAACTATCACTAACGCAACCTGCAGTAAATGATGCCACTATCCTCCTGCGAGATATCGCTGGTGACGCCGCAACCAACGCGGCCTCCAAAGTAAAGCCTAACCAAGATCAGCTCTCCCAGATCGATAGAGCTGCAGATGATAATACTTGGCATGACGTTCCCGATTTGTCTACTAATACTCTTAAGAATCAAATCAAGCAAGCATATAGCAAAAAGGGTCCTGTCCAAAAAGAGGACTTACGCGATGCAGCCGGAGATGCCACACAAGCTGCTCATCCCAGCGGCAGTCGTGACCCAGCAGATGCTGTTGCTTTAGCTGGTCAAGATCGCTCTGATGGAACAGCTTCAGGACTTGATGCTAATCGGGGGTTGAGAGAAGGTGCTGCTAGGCTGCAGGAACGGGCCTCAGCCAATATGCCCGAAGAGACCAAGCAGCGCGGCAGAGAGACCAGAGAGAAGACCAAGAATTACATCTCCAAGAAGATGCCCGAAGAGCGCAGAGAACAAACCATCTGGAGACTGAAGAAGATGATTGTTGAATGTCAAGGACACCCTGATTACCAACAAGCCATCACCACACTTTTGGATTTGGCTGAACAATATGCCGGACACGCCAACACCATTGGTCAACAGTCGACTGGAACAGTCAAGGGTGCACATACTGATTCGTCCTTGAAGAAGGCCGAGAATGATCTCAAGACTCTCATCGAGCGATTTGCCAACGGCACTTCAACCGAAGACCTATTTGAATCGTTGAATACAATTTACAGAGACGCTGACAAGGATCCTGAGCTCAAGTCCTGGTTCAAGAACATGAATACCTACGTACGAAGATGCTTGAAGGAACAAGGTTACATCATGGAGGATCGTGCTAAGGAGGAGTGGAACGCTCTCTACGATCGCGGCAACTTTCTTCTTCGTGACCGCTACAGAAACCACACTGATCGCATCGTCGATGAGATCAAATTCCTTGGCAAAGAATTCGACAATGATCCTCAAAACAAGCAATTCGCCACTTCCTTGCAAAAACTCTTCAACGACTTGGGCAACGATGAGAACGGCAAGCCAACCTTCAAACCTCATTTGCTCAAAGATCTCAGCGATGTCATCTTGCCTGCCGTTTTTGAGGGTATTCGATACGTACCAGTGCCCAGAATTGAGTACAGTGATCCTATGGTCGATGCTATCATTGAGAACCTCGTCATCGAAAGTGACAACCTGATGCCAAATATCTTCGAGTTGGAATCAGATCACCACTTCCGCTGGGGACGCAAGAACGTTGCCAACAATAACAGCAATAGCGTCACTCTCAAAGTCTCTGGTGTTCAATGCGATTTACGCGATGTGTCATACTACATCAATCGTAAACAGGGTACACCAAAACTCAAGGATGCTGGAGTTGCAGATATTTTCCTTGGCGGTTCTGGCTTCTCTTTCAAGATGAAGATGAGCACTACTTCTAAATCTGATAAGCAAAACTTTTTCAAAATCGAAAAAGTGGATGTGGATGTGAAGAACTTCGATATTAAATTGAAGCAATCCAGACACAAGCTCATCTTCAAGATCTTCAAGCCTTTTATGTTAAAGGTTCTTCGACCAGCGCTCCAGAAGGCTTTGGAGAAGGCCATCAAGCAAAAAGCTGAAGAACTCGACTCGATGCTCTTTGAAGTTAAAAAGGAAGCTGATCGTGCCCTTCAGGAAGCCGTTGAAGATCCCGAACAAGCTCCAAATATCTACAGTCGCTATGTATCTGCTATTCAGAAGAAGATGTTGCAAGGAAAGAACAAGGCCGAACAAGTTGCCAGCCAGACCAAGGTTAACATGGCCATGACTCAGCAAGACTCCATTTTCCCAGATATCCATCTAGAGAAGGGAACTTCCAGCAAGGCTACTGAGTACAAGGAACTTGCAATCAAGGACCCAACCACCTGGCAGACTCCTGTATTTGGTATCGGAAGTGCAAAGCCTTCAACCAATCTCCCCAAAGCCCCGGAAATTACTCGCAAGCACCATCAAGTCAACACAGGAGGTATTCGGGGACCACAGAATATTGGAAATACCAGTTCTATGAGTAACCAAGCTCATAATCCCACTGCTCAACACTCTGGAATGGCCGCTTCTAGTGGAAACATGGCGGGCGAGCGAAACTCGACTGTTACGGGATTTGGTAGTCAGGTCGATCAAGCATTCAGTGATAACTCCAAGGTTCCAATGACGGGTACTCATGGTACCAATGGTGCTATGAATGGTCATGGCATGAATGGAGGGTCGAACGGTCTCAACAGTCATGCGACCGATGGGAAGCAGCCGGTTATTTACAATACCACGCTGGGGAATGAGAATCCAGTCATGACTGGAAGAATGTAAGGAAGCTGACGGCGACTAAATTTACCGACGCACAACGCAACTTTTCTTTACTTGTCTTGGTTTTCTTTTTGCTTTGGATTGGGTTTTTGAAGATACCAATACCGCGGATACCCGTTACTTGATACTCTGGGTTAGGGAGGGATAAGGGTGAGGTAATGGGATGTGGTGGTGGTGGGGAGTGGGAAGGAAGGGTTGTTTCTTTTGTTCTTTCTTTCCGCTGATTTGCTGGTATGCGTGGCAGGGTGAATTGGTGGAGGATGGAGCGGGAGCTAATAATACTACGTAAAAGTTGGCGGGTGTGATTCCCCCTGGAAAGGAGAGCGAATGGAGATTGAGCGGCTGAATTACGAAAGTCCATAGCGTTAGAGCGTGAATTGTAATTGCTAAATCAGGAATCAAGTTTTTTTTCCTGAATCACAATAGAGATATGTCGTGAATCATTTAAATCTCTAGGGACACATGGAGATAAAAATAGGAAGCCTCTCCTAGCACCTCTTCCTTTCTACTACAAACTCATGCAAAGTTACTAATACTACTACCACATACCTGCAACTCTTATCAATACGAGTATCCCCAACAAAACAAACCAACCAAGCAAACTCCATACTGTACCAACACCAACCATGCACCCATCTCACCTCCTCCTCACCTTCCTTGGTCTCCTCTCTGTGGCCTTCGCGTATAACCCTTTTCCTTCCCAAGGCCAAGGTGTTGATCACCAACACTCGAGCTTGATCACCACGGTAGCGTCTTTACTCCTAAAACGGATAGGCTAGTGCGTACTACGATAATAATTATTTACTACTTATACTTATCTATCCTTTCTCTCCCTCCTACTTACTCTTCTCTTTCTTTATAATAACTATTTATACAGTAACTCCGATAGTAATAGTAATAGCGATAGCGAGAAGAGATAGGTAGTATTTGTTTGTTAGAAGGGAGGGGAGAGGGTATAGTCAGAGGAGCGTTCGAGTTATATTCGAGGGTAGGATTATTCGAGTTAAATTTAAGCTTATTTACTTATATCGAGTTGTTTTACCTTTAATTCTAGCGCTGTCCTATAACTCTAACTATAAGCTACTTTACGATTTACGAGTTACGATTTCCTATAAAATAACCTAAATTTCAAGTATTTATAATTTACGATTTACGATTTCGTCAATAGCGACCTAAGTGTACATTTAGGATGCCGTCGTACAAGAGATACTCGTAAATAAGGGTACAAAACAGTAATAACAAAGGTATATAAAAGCAGGTATATTAGTTGATTGATTGATATTGAAATCAACAGACGAGTACTGGGTTAAGTACTCGTAAAGGCTAGGCTTCTAGATATCCACGTGATAAAGTGGTGGATATATCGCAATAGTAATACAGCCTACATTATTAGCTTGCGGGTAGATTAATTGCCTTATAAACTACTTGGAAAGTTTATATTTGAGTATCCCATTTGGTTGTGAAGCAGATGGCATGAAAATTTGACAATAGGCGGCGCCGAACCATTTACAGGAAATAACAAAAAAGGTTCACAGGCCATCGGGTATGTTCCTTTCATGCAAAAATATCCCCCTATGCTCTCCTGCGATTTCTTTGTTAGCACTTTGGCTGATCTTATCCACGCTAACAATGAAATAACCTTTCCTTTGTTTATCTAACTGTTGCTGGGAAGGTACGAGTACATGGTTTTTTTTCTTCATGCGCCGGTCTGACGTTTTTCCTATCTTGTAGACAGTGGTTTGCGAATTCGAAAAAGGACAGAAGCAGCTCTTAAAAATAATATCTACGCAATATGGCGGACCCTATTTATTACCCCATGTGTTATGATATACCCGGTTTGGCTCATGTGCCCGAGGATAGATGGCCACGGGTCTTCAATTCAGATTTCGCAAAGAAACAATATGAATACCAGATCGAGGAGCAACGTAAAATAAGACAGCATCAGAAGGATGTTCTCTTTAGATATACAACACAACAACATATTGATTGTAAGACCCCATAATTCCTTAAGCTTCCTGGTAGGCCCTATAGCCAGCATGTCTACTGGGCCATCGAATCGACACAATACCAATTCTTTGGGCTTGCTTTTCATGAGCCTTCTGACATTGTCTCGGTAGTTGACCATCATAGTGGAAGGAAATTGAAACTGCCAACACTTAAGAATCCTCTGGGTCTATTAACCAGGAAAACAAATTGGGAGACGGAATCATCGCGAAGGATGCTAAAAGGCTACTGGAGCTACAGGAGGGGAAAGGAACCCAAGTCATATGATCACGTCGAGTTTACAACCCCTCGAGAAAAGCCATTGCCGATGAACATCAACATCCCGACCATACCTTATAAGGGAAATTGGGAAGCCAATAATTCGCTGGTTTGGGATGTGATCGAGCCTGGTTTGCGAATCGCAGAAATGCTGCTGATGGATAGATTGACACTTGCATATGTAAGGAGATATCCTATATTTCTTTTCCGTGCAAATCTAAAGGGGTAGTAGTTACATCGCATTTTCGGAAGTAATGGTAAGATTGAACGGATAGACGACTCCTTAAAGTTCGATCCGCAAGACCAAAATGAATACTTTAGAGTACGCCTGCGTGGTTGGGATAGCAAATGGGTCGACGATATCAGAGGAAAGGTAAAGCATCATCTCGATCTACTCTCGCAGGATACCCCGACGAGAATAGGGTTCATGAATAAAAATCTGGACCCGATGTACGATAGAGCCAACCCTTCTCTTGGTGGTGAGGATGCGGGTGCCTGGGGTTTGACTTGGCCACTTGCCAGGCCGGGAAAACCATCAGATTGGGAGGATGGTGGGCAACCTGTCATTGACCTTGCAAGGGTCAATATTTATATTCAGGTGGAGCTCATTCAACATCTTTTTCTGCATAATCCTTCGATGTTACCTGACCTTGAGCTGCGTGGTGCACAATTCCATATCGCAATCACTTTTGTCCATGAGGTTGTGCATGCCCTTTGGCTTTCTTATGTGAGAGAATATGGGAGAGATCTTAGGATCGATGAGTCGAAGTATCATTTAGAAGATGGTGGTGGACAAGTCGAGCATGGCTTTGAATGGGAAGTGGGGGTACGTATGTTTCTCACCCCCTAAGTTGACAAGAGGAAGCTGAAAAGATAGCAAGGCACTTGGTGGAATTGTAGAGCGGATAATACCAAGAGAAAAGGGACCCGGGGGGGCTTTTGGGTGGGAGATACACACTTGGCCAAGTCTTCTTGGGTACCCTCCACCTCCGATAGAACCGCCTCTCCCCGATACCCGTGAACTGCGGTTTCTCACAGTGGAGATGATAGAACAATTCCACCAAGAGGACTTTTGGGTGCGTTACCCTGAACATTTTTACGCGTATCCAACTAACTTTAAGAGATGACTGCTGTTAGGCGATTGGGGATTAAGCATCTACTGAAAGCATCCTCAAGTGTAGAAGTTTTGTTCAAATTTACAAAGTTTGTATGTCCGACAAATGGTACGATAAAGGTTGCATGACAGAAGACAGAATATACACGAAATGAGAGCGGAAAAGACTGGCTTGAAGAGGAAGCTAAGAAGGACTGGATTCAGAGGCTAGCGAAATCCGATCCGACGGCACGAAGGGCGATTAGGTGGGCTGAAGAATTTGCTCAGAGAACAGGAAGGATGGACAGTGTTACTTTTGACCTTGAAGAAGCGAATTTGGGACTGGAAAAGATATTGGGACTTCTCAGTGCAAATGCGGATCTTACTGATGTTATGACACCGATAATTCTGGCCATTCAAATATATGACAAGTCTGTTGGGTAAGTCAAGTCTCGAAGGAAATTCTTCTTAATTATTTTAGTCAGTCATGGGAAGGGGGATCTTATCTTCTTCTTTACTCTCAAGATTTCCTTGACGGTTCTGTTTTCTAACCTTTTTGGCCTCTCTTGAGAAAAGAAAGTACCAAGCTGACTTCTAATCCATGGATTAGGGTAATCGCAGAAGCCACCACAAAGGAGAGAACCATACCACCATATTTACAATCCTGGCGTCTGAGTTTACTGGAGTGGAATTTCATGACAAGAAGCTTTCTGCGTCAGCTCCAAGATCATTTTGAAAACGAGGGAAATGATGAACGCTACGCCAATGCTATCGAGTCCACCTTGCTGATGACACTAGAGAAGTCACGAATGCAATTGGCCGATCCTCTAAAGGAGCCAGAGGATGGACCAAAAGATGACGGTCTTCATCTTCCAGAGAAACACTATGAAGATATGAACGACGTAAGCATAGCTTTCAAAAGAGCCATTTCGGGAGACGAGGATCAAATGCGGCTGGCTTTTGCACCTCTAGATGGATTATTGAGAGTTAGTTTTCTCCCTTTCTGGTTTCCTTGGAAATGTGGCATGGGAAACGGTAATACTAACTAAGCATCGTCTGTAGGGGACCAGCACAAGCGTATTCGATATGTCATGCGCCGAACTTATAAACATCGGCCTTACATGTATCCTTGCTTCCGATGGTGAAATTAGCGAGGACATCACCGTTTGGAGGGAGGATACGGACACGATATATCAAGATTTGGAGAATCTACGGGCTTTGCATAAACTTCCCCCTTTGTGGAATGATCTGATTGGAGAATGGATGGTGGTGGCTTATAATGTTCAACAAGGGTTACGTCGTATTGAAGATCAGGTTAATAATCAGCCAAAGTGGCAGCAGCAGGACCTGAGACCGTCGAAGCTCTCGGATTGGCTGGGTGAAGAGGTTCCAAGTCATTAAAGAGCTGCTGGGTGGTGGAATAATTGAAGCATACCTCCGATGACTTGTATTGTGAAAGAATTCAATCTTCGCAAACTGGATTATATATTTTCGTTGTTACTCGTAATCTTACAATTAGGCGAATTGAGAATACCTCAACCGAAAAGAGAGCGAATGCTACATCGCTTGATTAATGGTTGCTACAAAGCGTCTGTGGGTTCTCAAGGTTAACGTTATCCATATCAACTTCCACTTTCAAACAAAAGAGATTGGTCTCTCTCGGATCTTTCACCCACGAGCGTTGCGGGTATCAGGAAAGCACGGGAACTTTGGGCGCTATGCTTGAGAAGGATTCAAATTCCGAATCAGTGGTATATCCTTCGTTGGTAATGAAATCAACGATGGCAATTTTATTATTTTCGAAATTTATATAGCTATTTATTAACTCAATCCGTTATAATAAGGAATTCCATGAGCATTTTGATCTTTTTGTGAGAAATGGTTGAACAGTTGTTTCATTGAGCCCAATGCACTCAGTTGATGAGGTTTCTTTAAATTCGGACAATGTCCCTATGTATTCAACCAATTTGATAGCGGGCATTATATAGAAGAACTGAATTAATAAGTTGGAATAGAAACTGCGACCCTAATTCATTCAAAAAAAAATCGCGTAATTTAAGCGAATTTCATTGGTTGTACTATTCTTTTCGAAACGTGGGATCAATAACGGAATGATGGGACGATCAGGCCTGATTAGTCTGAATATCTGAAGCCGTTTTGAATTTATCTGACGTGTTCTAAATTAATTCTCGAAGATTTCACTATTTTGGGAATATATCATATTTGTAGTGAATAGGATCCACGTGGACCCCGCATGGAGTTGAATGGGTACTTCTGGTTAATTCAATCATTCCTTCTGCAGAAAAATCTCCCCTTCTCTTCTTCTAGGTGATCTAGTAAATGATCCACCCTGGTTTTATTTAAGAGTCTAGAAGAAATGATGATACCAGTACTTTAGGGCACCCCTTGAAACTTGGGTGTGAAATAAAAGTGTTATTCTGATGAAATGGACCTATTTCAAGACTCAACTCCTACAAAATGCCACAAAGAAGGAGAAGGCGAATTGTGCTCTTCTCCCTTCACTCCAACAACCTCTCCAACCACAATTCGGGTAATACATCATGACCGTTTCCTAAACAGTCTTAGATTATCCAAATACATCTTCTCTGCCAAACTCAACTCCCTCCTCATCTCCAACTCCCTCTTCACCTCAGTAACCTTCAAGCCAACCCTTTCACCAAAAAACACCGGCCACTCCTCATCGTAAAACCCCGCGAAAACCAACTCATGCAACCTCCCCAACTCCTCCAACGCCAAACACATATCTGGATCACTTCCCCCACCCAAAAAGCCCTCCTTCCACTCGTGAACATCACAATCCCAAAATATTACCACCTCCCGCAGTCTGGGTGCCCGCTTCACTAAAAGCGCAAAGAAGTCGCACCACTGGTGCCCTGAAAGTGGTTTGTCAAGGTCCAACCAGTTGTATCCGGAAGGGATGGAGATGCGCACTCTGGTGATGTGGGAGGCGTTGGCAGTTCCGATTGCGGTCAGCCATCTGATCCCTTCACTTGCGGAGTCGACACAGAATCGAATGAGGCCGTGATAATGTGGGTTAAGAATGGTGTTGTGGGGTGCGTTGATGATGGGAATATCTGTTGGTTGGTAGATGTTTTCCATTTTGAGAGAGTTCCACTGTAGTTATGCCTCTTTGCAGGCTCTTTGGAGGAGAAAATTTTAGTATTGGGCTTTCGAGTGGGATGGTAAGGAAGCGAATATAAGGAATGATATGATAATGAAATGACATACGTAGCTTGTGCAAGAAGACAGGCAATAATCAACAAATATTTGGTACAATTCGGAAAAGTCGTTATTTGGGGTAATCAGAGGCTTCTTTCAAGGACAGCGTATTGTGTGTATTATTAATGATAAGTACAACGAAGGTGGCTATAGTTTGCAAAAGTATACATTTTAGCCGAGGCACAGGCAATCTAAGCGACAGAGGCAATTCACTCAAGCGAGTTCATGGTATCACGTGATCGAGTGAGTTTGAGCTTTCAATCTTCCATCCGTCGCCAAGTCTCGAAACATAAGAGTCGCTCATATGATGTCTGGCGTTTGCTCTGAAATCCAAAGTGAAACAAGAATAGAAAGATGATCATCGCGTCATTCATTGTAAAACAAGGCCCTTTGATAAGCAAAGTATTTTCTTTTAATCAGTCAACAAATTCTAGTATTCGAGTCATCTGAGCTGATGTAGATAAATAACAGTTGGTATAACTATGATTTATTTCTTCGTTTTATCTCCCTTTCACGAGGTTTAGGCAGATATCCCATGGCAAGACATATGAGATCACTCGAGCCCAAGCTCCATCGCTAGAAATTGTGGCATGCAAATGCCATATGAATCACACTATAGAGACGGTGCATTTGTTCATGTTGATGAATTAAACAGGTAAACTATACACAGTAACAAAATAGAAGACCGATAGGCTATTTCTTCATCCCAAATGCTTCAAAGTACTTTCCAAAAGAACTCCTAAGCAAAAGAACAAAGAGTAGATGAATTATTCGCTATGCAGATACGCCGCCTATTATGTTATTTCCCTATGCCAGACCTGTGTGTATTCCCCAGAAACCCTTTCCGAAAGCAGGAGTGTATGGATAGAACTTGAAAGAAATCACCCGTAAGTCATATGTTTCCCTCCCCCACCACCCTCATCATCATAATCCTTCGGCGCGGGCCTTGGTTTTGGAGGTGCGTTATGATCCGTATAAGGATTTGCCTCAAACAATGTCATTTCTCTCAATTGAGAATTACTCATTCCGGCTTCTCGTAGCTGCGAGCCACTGAGACCTTGTTGTCTCATAAGCGCTGATTGAATGTCATCAACGTGATACTGACTTTCGGAAGCTTCGGCTATATGACCCAAAGCCGTAGGAGAGGCAGGTATTTGCCAAGGTGAAGTCCGCTTTGATTGTGCACGTTGGACAATTGCGCTGCTGCTGGAACCGCTACCGCCACTAAGTTTGCGACTGACAATTCGGGACATTCCTCCCATTCCTAACCCGTAAAGCGCTCGCGAAAGACTTGAGCGTCGCCCATCGTCGAGTGATGCCTCTAGTTCAACGGGATCGGACATCTGACTGACATTACTTTGGTCGCTAGAATTACTCCAATTTCGACCGTGAGCACTGGGTCTTCGAGTAAATATTGAGCCTTGGGAACCCCTGTTGGATTGGATGGGGAGGTCAAAGTAGCCTCCATTCGGATTCACTGATGTTGGAGGCGATGGCTCCAGTGATGGCTCACGATCATGTCTGTAATAATTTTGAGAGTTGGGAGAATCTGAAGTCGAGACTGGATCGTAACCTCCTGGATAATGTGTATGCGAGGGTGGTTGCGGGGAGAAGGGGCTGTAAGTATTAAAGAGAGGTCTTGGGGAATTGGCTTCCACTTCATGTGCAGCACTATAGATACTCGATGATTGATGAGAAGGGCGTCTGACAATACCACTAGACTCCGAAGGCGTCATCATCAATGGATCAACTGATAATTGGTCCACCTCTAACATTTGGTTTGAAGGAGCTCTCGGCCTTGACCGGCCTGACCGAGGACCACTTGACGATGTTCGCGAATTTGTAGCTTCTGTCACCTTGACTACCTTATTTAGACGTCGGATGATGAAAGTAGCAATAATTAGGATTATTACAAGAAACCCAATAGCACCTCCAATAATGCCACCGATCATTGGGGTGGTAAGTCCAGTGCTGTCGCTTTTCGAAACGCCGGTGGCTTCCGTCTTCGCTACTGGTACTGCTGATGGAGGGAGCTTGGTCACTAAATTTTCATTGGAAGGTACTGTTGCAGTTGGTGTAACGGGGGTCGTTGCTGTGATTTTGGTGTTTATTTGAGTCACAGGATTGGAACTGGCGTCTATCGTAGTGATCGTCTCGAGCAGAGTAAATGTCGATATACTTGTTACATAACAAGTACTAACAGCGCATCCCATTCCATTCTTGCAGCATCCTCCACCAAACGACGCTGCACACTGATACAAATTTGCGCCGCATGTCTGGCTAGCTGATACACCAGCAGAAGGGCTACATCCGGCTTGGCCACATACAAATCCTCCGGGACAACAACCACCTACTTTTGGATTAGACATTTGACAGGATCAATAAGATTCTTATAAGTGACTTACCACCATCGGATGCCCCACAAGCGATGTATCCCGAGATTCCACAAGCGGAAGCAGGAGCAGCACTTGTGGGTAAACAACTACTCGCTCCGCAAACTCGATCATTGGGACAACAACCCCCGTTCAGCGATTTCGGACATAGTTGATAGTCTACCGGACACTGCGTCGCATCTCTTTTCTGTCCTTGTATGCCCTCATGTATCAAAGCCCATTTATTCGAACCAAGTTTCCGTTTGAATAATGAAGGCCCCGGTGTGATCTTGGCATGCGCGGATGTCACTGTGGATTCGATCGTCCTCGTCACTATTTTCGCATGTTGTTTCGGCTCGAGGGCATCGTTTGTATTTTCGTTCTCGTGTCCAACTTCGACTTCTATTGATTCGCTTGCGAAAACCGTCACAATAACATTTTGCGCCAGTTCTGCGATCTTTTGAACCGACTGGCCCAAATTTGAAATAACCGAAACTTCTTGGTCGTCTTTTAAATTCGATGAAGGCGCCAATATCCCTCGTGTATTTGCAGCCGCCAAACCCGCTGTGCGAACCCATCCGACTGTTGAAGTGCGCATGGCGACTTATCGGGTTTGCGATACCACAGGCAGCTATCCTTGAATACGAGGGGTACCTTCTCTGGACATGGAGCTTCTACCCAAGCAGCGGCTGACTTTTGGTTTCGCAGTAACGAAATTGTACCTCCATGAATATAGCGATTTTTCCGGAGCTGAATTTGAAAGCAAAAATAGGAAACAGACTCAGGGTGATTCTAGAAACAGCACTTGGTATAGATAGCAGAATTCAGTGGGTGCGGCACAGATAAATCTGTAAGCGGGGCGGGGCTGAAAAGAAGACTCGCTGGGACGAAATTTGGTACAAATTCTCGTGAGATTTGGCTGACCGCGTTGGAAAACTTTTTGGAAAGAGCGTATGTATCATATGGTTAAAATATTTCAACGTGAAATGGGGTTTTTGGTGATGTTGGTGTTATCAGAGATCGACACCGTTCCTGAAGGCGGGAGAATAGCCGATCACTAGGAAGCAGCAGATAATAACGACCCTTCTAATCAATTGGCATCCTAGACTATGGCTTTTCTAATCGGTGATGACACCAAGGATAGAAAACTCCTCGGCCTCTTTTCTTCTTCCTTGATGCGGATTGTCTGCAGACTTGGAGACCATACGCTTCAATGATTGGAGGAACAGTTATAAAATAAGGCTGTCAGCATGTACTACGACTTTTCCAGAATATTGGGGGCACAAAGCTGGGGGTTTGTGGTGGGGGCTTGTTTGGAGCCCCTCGGGCTCGTGGGTGGTTTCCTGCTCAAGGTGGCTGCATTCATCTATTATTTATCGAATCATATGTCTGAGATGATTGATATCATGCACTTTGGTAGCTGTGTGTTGGTGTTTTCCACTGGGTCTTGGCTGTGATAGCATAGCGAGCAGCATGTCGTGAAATGCATTTGGCTTCGTATTGGGCAAGTATTCAGCCATCTCGCGTGGCCACCGACGGTCATCTGCACCTTGTGCGATTCGTCATAAACCTGGACAAAATATCGAACTAACACCGATTGGTGTTGTTGAACCTTGAGCTGCTTGCCAACGTTGCAATGAGACTTTGTGAAAAGAGGAGGGCAGAAAATCGGATGTTCATCGATCCGAACTTCATTTCTTATAGTTGAATCCACGTGGAATATACAAGAAAGTTTCACTGAGAATGGATTTTGAGTTATTTGGAAATAAAACACTCAACTTTAAAGAGAACGCCAACAATAAGAATTTGATTATGGCCGGAGTTCTGTTTTGAAAGCTATATCAGGTGACGTGACAAGTTATTTTAGGAATGTGGTGGGGAAGGCAGAGGAGGGGGTAGGGGTATCTGCTTCTGATTGGATCAACCTCCTTGAACATCAGAATGGCTCTTGTCTTTTATCATATCATTACCGCATCCTCTTTTCCCATTCAGAAAACATCGGATTGTCCGCTGTCACGTGTGTAAGCAAGAATAGGCATAGAAATGTAGGGTTTTTTCCACTTCAGAGACACATTGATGCAAGATGGGTGGCTTACAATATTCTTTGCTGCGCATCTTTGCCTTGTACGCCTCTCGTTTTGATTTCGCTGCAGCATTTGAGTATGGTTTTATCATCATAGGTGGAGGCACTGCAGGTCTGGCGGTTGCAAATCGGCTCACCGAGATTCCAAGTATCACAGTAGCGATAATTGAGGCAGGTGATAAGGTGTTCGATAATCCGACAGTTACGGCAGTAGATGGTTTCACTCTCGCTATAGGCACTTCAATTGACTGGCAATATGAAACGGTAAATCAAATTCATGCTGCAGGACAAGTAAAGTCGTGGCCGGGGGGTAAAGCACTTGGGGGTACTAGCACAATAAATGGTTTGTTTTCCTGTTCGTTCGTATATTGTAGAAGCTCATTTGTTTAGGTATGACTTATGTGAGGGCACAGAAGTGTCAAATAGATTCCTGGCAAGCAATTGGAAACGAAGGATGGAGTTGGGATGACCTTCCCTATTATAAGAAGAGTGAGAATTTCACTGTCCCTACTCCTGAGGAGATAAAAAATAGTGCATCTTATAATCCAAGCTACCATGGGACAGGGGGTCTGTTGAGTGTGGGGTTTTCAAAAGATCTGTTGAATGGCTCTTTGCACACAATCATTCTTGATACTTGGGCAAACTTGGGATTGCCATTGAACAATGATGCCAATGGGGGCGATGTAAGAGGATTCAGTGTTTGGCCAAACACCCTGGACAGTGCAACTAATATAAGAGAGGATTCTGCAAGAGCCTATTACTATCCAATTGAGAGTCAAACCAATCTTCATGTTTTCCTCAATACAACCGCCAACAAAATCGAATGGGATGAGTCTGTGCCCGAGGAACTCGTAGCAAAGGCAGTCCAAATTACCCACCAGAACGGCAGTGTAGAGGCGCTCAAGACGACAAAGGAAGTTATTGTTTCAGCTGGCTCTGTGCAATCTCCTGCGTTACTTGAGCTTTCTGGTATTGGAAATCCCAGGTAATTCTTCTTGAAACTACTAGCCATTCTTAGCTAACTCATTCAGAATCCTCGAAAGATGCGGTATTTCTACTAAAGTCAGTTTGTCAGGCGTCGGCGAAAACCTCGTCGATCAGCCTCTAAATCTTCTCCAATATAACTCCACTGAATTATACGATGGCATCACATCATATGTAGCATACGGAGCTATGGATGACTTCCTCGCGACTTTACCAACACGAAACACGACAATACTGTGGGCATCCCAGATTACAGCAGCAAACAACAACTCAGTCAGTCAGGCATCAATTGAGTATCTGCTGCAAATCCAATACGATCTTCTTGAACGCCAAGTGCCTAATGCTGAGGCCATAGTTGGAACCACTAAAACCTTTGGAGCGGGTCCAAGTCAAATTCTCGCTGCCTCCATGTGGTTACTTATGCCATTTTCAAGAGGAAATGTTCACATTAACTCCTCGGATCCTTTAGTATTTCCGGTCATTGATCCTAAATACTTCTTGATAGACTTTGATCTGGATGTTCAAGTAGCAATCTTTAAGTGGTTTAGGAAATTCTGGGCTACCGGCCCAGTAAAAGACCGAGCAATCGAGCTTGTTCCCGGATATGCCATTCTTCCCCTAAATTCTACGGATGAAATGTTAGGAGATTATATAAAGAAGAATTGTAAGTTGAAATGATGTATTTACAATTGCTTGGTTCTATTCGTTCTAACCAATTCTAGTCGGCGCAAATTCCCACAATCTTGGAACTGCTTCTATGATGCCCCGTGAACTTGGCGGTGTAGTTGATTCCAGTATTAAAGTTTATGGTACTTCAAACGTAAGGGTTGTGGATGCTTCTATTTTCCCAACTCAGGTTAGCGGACATTTGACTAGCACTATTTACGCGATTGCGGAGAAGGCTTCGGATATGATAAAGGAGAGCATGGGACTCAATTAAAAGGCACGAAACTCTCTGGAAGCCCTCCAGCTTTGACGCTGAATGCAACATATTCGAGGATATTGTCTCGAGAACATGAGTTCATAAATCTTTAGTGTGTTTCGATCATGTACAAAAAAAAAATAAAACTCATATTAGACCAAAACTTTGAAGAAAAGAACTGTAGCAACCCCTTTCAGTTGCATCCTAATGATTTGTTTGTTTTAATTTCTGAAATTGGGGTTAAGCTGTATATGTGGTTTGGTCTGATCTTTTTGGCATATTCGCTTATGCAACTATGAACTTGACTGACACCTTCACTTACACGATGTACACAGTTTCTCACAGATCCGTACGATGACAGAAAGCCAATTAGTAGTTATAACAAGTAATATGCACCTCAGTTCTATAAATCACGTGCTACCAAAATATCAGATCGGGAAACATCCTGTTGCTGCTGGTACAAGTAAGCGGGGTCCTCTCTCATATGCTTCAACTGACATCACTCGAGTCTCTCATCATGTCAGACTCAAAAGACGAACAACCTTGGGTTCTTACCAGTGCGAATGTTACGGGAGTCCGGGATTAGGTCTGTTGTTTGGTTTGAAGATTCGTTCACAAAGTATAGAGTTCCGACGACCATTTTCGGCTTACACCTGCTGGTTGATGGTATTGACGTAGCTGGGCCAAGGCTTGTACCGACGATACGGCTGCTCTCTCTTTCTTCGTTTACAGTCGTCCCTCCAGCCTTTTCACTCAAGGGATATTTTCACGCAAAGCACACCGTCACCTTCTACCGCCAAGTATTCCAGGTTTGGATGAGATTAAGCCGAAAAGATCTCTAACTTACTCTGACTTACACGCCGCCACCAGTGCCTATTCGTCCAATCCAAGAACTACAACTACAACTACAACCGCCAACGACGACAATACCCCTTACAGCTGCGGATTGAAATCCTGTAATCCAATAAATGGCCAATGATGCCATAGCTACAGCTAGTTTATTCCCCTCGCTACCAAACATCCGCAATGCTCTCATGGATAATCTCCTGGATACCAAACCGAATTTCCTCTGATCCCATTTATCATGTCAGGTCTGGTACTTTCATGGGTACGTGGCAGCTCTCAAGGAAGCATCTTCAACAGACCGATTGAAATATGAGCATCGCCAATTCCATTTGGACAGCCTGTCAGGTATGTCAGCTGCTACAGCTTCCTTTTCTGAGCACGAACGCAAGATCGGAAACGCCTTATGCGAGGAGAGATACGAGCTAGAAGTATGCTTTGCTTCCCGTGCTGCAGTTTTCATCCGAGACGTGCAGGAGCGACTTTTTGCCTTGAGAGGCCTGGACGATGAACCACAATTGCTAAACTGTCGTGACAACTTGCTTCACAAAGGACATTTTTATAACAAGTTTTGGTTTCTGAGGGGAAATGACCGGTCATAAATTCATACCCTGCCCGTTACCATGGATCGCGTTCTTGATAGGTTCATATAAACTAATCGACGAATTCCCTGGTAGCAGTTGGGACTGCAAAAGAGGTGCGATACAACCATACGATCTCGCTCGACTACCAACACACCACCGCAGAAAGTTCAGTATTTGACATCATAGGCGTCTCCGGTCTTCACGAAGGAAAAGGATTGAGGGCTCCATGGACAGGAAAGCTCAACTTGAAATGCAGCGCTCGTGTGAATGATACAAACTCGCTCCCATGTAGGCCAAAGTACGACCTACAAATATTTGGATCAGGTGAACATCCTCGAACTTGTTAAAAGGGGCGCCATATCTTGGCAACATGTATATCACAGTAACAAGTACTCGTCTCTGATGAGACTTCGGAGTGGGGCAACATCTATTTTATGAGATCGATGTGTCCACTTGCTTCGATGGAAGCAATGCAAGCATATCAAACGTTAGCGTTGTGGCGAGACATGACTCAGATCATTATTGTAGAAGCACCGATTACTTTGTGTGAGATGCAGTCGTCGGAAGTTATCCCTGAAACAATGCCATCCAAGGTCTGGGATGACGAATAACGGCATGAAAATCCTGCGGGAGCCGCACTGGGATCTCCTGCGAGATTTCAAAAGCCAGGAGGTATGACTTGTGGAGAGTTGAATCCTTCGAAATACTTTCGCGAATCGCCATTCTAGCTTTCTTGTTACTTAACCTAGTCCTGTCAAAGTACTTCTACAACTCGGGAATCCCCCGTTCAACATACGGAAAATTTGGAAACCAGTAAACCGGCGCTAGGGCGTTGGGTAAATCGACGCTTATTCCCTCGCTAAGCAGGTTCACAACGCGCAGAGTGACCAGGGCACATTTATATTTTTTCAAAACTAAAGCCCTACATCGACTTCCAAGAAGGGATGTCCTTACTCCGTACCTTTTCTCTACCAATAGATTACGTTCTGATTGGCAAACCGGGAAGGAGAGCATTGCAGCTAAACCCAATCGGAACGTAAACATACTACAAGATGAAAAGTACTAAGCGGACTAATCAACCTGAGTTTGAATGTGACAGTCTACACTTTGGTGCGCGAGTTCCCAGCGGAATCTCGAATTTGTAAATAAGAGGTGAATACGTCACAGTATGTTGTTGTTAAGGTGTGCATAAGACTCACCCCCTGGCTAAAAATACTTCGAAGCAGTAGCCGTTTTCTCTTCTGGCGCACTTCGTCTGGAAGATCAGGCGGTTGGAAACCTGTCCCGTAACCTAAATCAAAGATGCTATACCGTCTTGAATCTCTAGGGGACTCATGTGTCAAGCTTTGTGTCAACGGGCAATGGCCCGTTAGAAGTCTTATGGTGTTACGCTGTCTCGGTTATCAATCCACATTCATGTCATCACCCTTTCCACTACAAATTTCAGTAGGGTCTATACGATAGCATTGTAAGGTTAAGTTTTGAAGTCTATTTTGGCCTTATTCTCAGGTTCTCAACCAGGTGAATGGCATACTCGACCGGTCAAACTTGGAACAGACTGGGTACTTCGTAGTCTAATAATTCAGCTGGGGTGTCCTTCAAGACTATGTAGCTTAGTAAAGCTATCGATGGTACCCATTACCTACATCTTTACTAGCCTCGGAATGCGAAGAGCTAAGGAATTTCTCGTCCAATGTAGCCACCCTGCGCCCATTGCGCGGAAGTTGAAAGACAACTTTACTCAAAAGACGTGGAAATAGGCTGGAAGATGCCTGCTCATCATGATACACTGGGAATGTTATTGTTGTGGGCGGTTTTTCTGTAAGGAAAGTCTAGTATAAAGAGCACATTCCTGCTCACAAGACCTTCTTATCAACTCTCATATATTCTATCCACAAAAGTCTCAACTCGTACCAACTGCCGGCCAGTCATTACTTTAATCCATTATCTTCACCATGAAATACTCAATCTCTCAAATCATGGCAATCGCCATAGTCGTCTTCCCACTCGTTTCGTCGATTCCTATGGAAGCTGAGACGAAGGTTGTAGCTCGACGAAATGTGGCAATTCGACGAGATATCAATCTCAACTCTCGTACTCCACATGGTATGTATTATTTCCGCTTTGCTACTTAACATAATTTGCTGATTTATTGGCATTAAAAGAGGGGCATGATGATGCAAATAAACCTGCAGGAACAAAGGCAGGAGCACCACCAACCACGAAAGGGACACCTGCACCCAAGGTAGTGGCACCAGCAGGAGCACCCGCAGGAGCACCCGCACCTTCAACCAAGGGAGGAAAAGAAGACCCAACAAAGGCTAATAAGCCTGGTGCTGCCGCTCCCAGTGGTGTTAATCCAAAAAAGACGGGTGCTCCAAAGGCAAATTCTGAAAAGGGTCCTAAGGATGTTTCTGCAACAAAGGAACCTGCGGCTGCTCCTGCGGGCGCTCCTGCGGGCGCTCCTGCGGCTTCTCCTGCTCCTACTGGTACGGGCGCACCCAAGCCTAAAGGATCTGCTGCCCCTCAATCCACGGGTGCCCCTAAAAAGAAGGAAGGTGGTGAGAAGGAGAAGGAGAAGGAGAAGGCGGCGAAGGAGGCCAATAAGGATGCTCCCAAGGTGAAGAGACACGAGGGTCACGATGGTAAGCAATGAGGTATCTCTTATTATAACATAATGAGCTAACAACAAAAGATGAACCTCAAGCGAAGACCGGTGCAGACAAACCAAAGACCTCCACTGGAGCAGCACCACTCAAACCATTAAACGCTACTTCACCCCAGAACGCCACTGAAACGAGCGCACCCAAATCATACTTCATAGGCGTGTACTAAGCTGGAGATGAGCGACTTGTAAATGTATAAACAGATTGACAACTCTTTTTTTGTATTTGGGACTACGGCGTTCGGTGATAGAAGTTGGGGCAAGTGGAATCAGAAAAGTTTTTCCAAAGAAAAGTTTAGACTGACTAATGAGCGAGTTCATGTATTCCAGTTTCTGAATTATGAAGTACCACAGATGTCAGCTCTGGCTTTTACCTGGGATATATATGTTTCGCCTCTTGGCTTAGGGGGATATGTCCTGGGGACATATATCTACTATTGTTGTATCTACAACATACTACACTCGTTAATAGCAATTATACGAATTGAGACTTTGTGTAAGCAATCATCAGTTTTCCATAACAGGCATCAGTTTCATTGTTTGTGTTGTGGCTTGTGATGCATAATATCCATATACTCAAACATTCTCGCTTATTTTAAGTGGGACCAAATGCCTCTCCAGACCCATCTCGCAAAAACAGAAACCAAACGTAGAACAATAAAAATACACAAAACAAACATAACATTCGAAACTAACATCTGAAACCAACTCTAGGAAAACTTTGCTACATAGGCTAGCTAGACGTAAAACAATAAATAAAGAAAATAAGCTATCCCTTACTCCCTAACTCGTGTACTACCGGTTATCAGAACACCTAATTGGGTTTGGCCAGTTGTATCCTACTAGTTTGATTGGCGGGAGTACTAATGCCAAACCTAATTAGGACATTATGCTTACCGTTAGTGTGCGAGTTACGGAGTAAGGGATAGTAGTACTACTAGGGGTCGCTAGAATTCTATACGTAGCCCCGGAATTTAGTTAAAAACATACTAAAAGCTACGTTTTTTAACCCTATAAATCTATAAATTTATATTAAAACCAGACGTAATACCTCTAATTTTAACTTTCTAGATTATATAAATAGACTATATATGTAAAAGCTTCCTTTAAATCTAAATACTCTAAGTATCGTTATGAAAAACTACTTAACTCGAGTACTACTTAGATTTACTTAAGTTAAGTTAAGTAGTAGATTTAACTACCTAAATAGTACTTAACTTAACCTAAGTTACTTATAACGTTAACTTAAGAGATATTCTAGTAGTAAGTTTTCTCTTAATAAATCCTCTAGTAACCCCTTTATATTTATAGTATAATAGAGGTCACTCTTTTATAAAAAATTCTAAATAGTATAAGTTAGAGCTATTATCTACCTTATTTTCAGAAGACGAGGGCACAAATTAGAATGGCTAAGCGAATAAGGAGGTAAGCTAGCTAAGGGGGAGCCGAGAGTCTTATAAGACGACCCTGACCGAGTGGAAGCTACTAGAATACTAGGAAACCACCTAGGCTACCGAGACAAGTCAGGTAGCAAAGACAGGAGTCTTAACTAAGGCCGACCGACAGGTCCTAACAATTGCCGCCACAAAATCGAAAGACGATTCTCTAGCGTCAACAATACCTCGGTGGATGAGAAGCAAATGAGTATGCTGTCAAATCCAAATCCAAATCGGTGGCTCTTTACAAGCACACTCCGATATCCAAATGCCAAGTCCATATGCCATAGAAAATCCAAATCCCTGTCGGTTGGAGAGGCCCTTGATGAGAACAATCCGGTGTCCAATTATTAATATCCATACTCTTTACATAACAATCCATTGTATGCAACCCAAATGAGTGCAAGGTCGCAAGCGAGCGAAAGGGGGGTTAGTGTCCTCGTTTTTAAAAGTCCGTCGGATTCTAAGTATATTTATCCTACCCTCCTTCTCCGTTTATACCTTGGCCGCGAGTTCCTTTTGTCACTTATATATATAAAATAACGCGTGAAACACTGCCCAACCGAGTACTGTTGAGTCCTTTCTAATCTCTTTCTTCGTAGCAGGTAGAGCTATTAGTTTGTCTAGCTAAACGTTCAAGTACGTAGTATAGTATATAAGTTATTAAGTAGAAGTATTAAAATCTTTTAAAAGTCCCAAATCACATGAAATGGCCAACTTCAGTCGGTTTACAGTACGTATAATACAACATCCGGGTCCATATGCGCATATAGCCATTTAGGCAATGTGGGCGCTAAGCGAGCTGGAAAAAAGGGTGTGTATTTTGTGAAATTGTAAGGTATCTACTACCTCGGTTAATACCCTAAGGGTAGATCTTGTCGGTTTTCTAATAGCTTACGAGGTAAGCTAAGACTATTCATAAGTATAGAAATAGGTTGTAAAGACAGAGTGTAATTCTCAAATCTCCGGCGAAATCGTTATCTAGGTTACCCTAGACATAGCTTAACGATTAGAATTTAGGGAGCTTAGCACAGACCTTCAGCGAGAGTATTAAAATATGAAATGGAGTTTCTCTAGTACCTAATACCAGGGCTAGTGTCAGAAGACTAATAGGGTACATTGTGGTAATAAGCGATTACGAGAGACAGCTACTTAATTCGACTAGATTTTGTAAAGATAAGACATACTTAGATTCTAGTATTACTACTCTATATTAGAAGACGAGGGTATAATATAAAATAGATAACCGAATAAGGGGGTAACTAGCGAAGAGTGCGCGGACCAGCTCTAATATATAACGACCCTAACTGATTAGAAGGCTCAGAGTACTAGGTATCCCACTTAGGAAACCGAGATAACTCAGGTAGCAAAGACAGGAGTCTCTACCAAGACCGACATGTCGTATCAATTTCAATCAAAACATGATCTAAAAGTATTCAACCCTCCCAAGTTTTTAAACCCCTTCTACCTGATAATATAAACATGTTATAATCTTCAGAAGAGACCACCTTACTCCCGCCCTCTTTATTCCTCCTGGCTTTCCTTTCCCTTTCCTATACCAACCCCCCAACTACCCCACCATTTAAACCCCCTATTTATCCATACATAGTGCAATATATTATCAAACCTAGTACCCTCCCAGTCCAGCCCCCCAAGAACTTATCTACTCAATTCCAACCTCCGAAAATCAATCTCTATACCTCCCCAAAACACACCCCACAATCCATAAGATCTCCTTAGTACATACATACAGCACCACCCTCCCAACTCTCCTCTCACCTATCCAAACATTCCTATAGTACTATTGTACCATAGAACCCTAAAACCATTTACGCCGAGTATAAGTATAAGTATAAACACCACCCTTTAAACTTACCTAGGTATCTTTCTACCCTTCTTTCTCCTCTTCTCCCCTGCTTAATAGGTAAAAAATAACTACAGTACTGTACCACTAAAAGATTAAAATGCAAATATCCATCCATCTGAGCTATTTTACGTTCCCCCTTTGCCCCCTTTACTCTGAAAAACTATATCACTCTACTTTACTTAACTTATCTACGTTATATTAAATTTGATTATATTTACTTCTCTTATAGTAGTAGACATAGGAAGATCAGAGTTAGACAGAGTTAGTATCAACCCCAGTCTCAGTCTCAAATGTTCAGTAGAAGAATTAAGAATTATTAGTAAAACACCACACACATCACACCAGACCACACCAGACCACACCATATCATATTATACCATACTACACACACCACACTACACTCACACTCAACATCACCATACACCAACACCCTCCAAATATCAAATACCAAATACCACCACAAAATCAAAATCAACCACAACACCCACTCCCTCTTCCTTCTCCCCGAAAAAGAGAAGAAGAAAGAAAAAGAAACCAATACATGGGCGGCGGGTGCAATAAGCAAAAGGGGCTTTCCAGCAGTAACCTTACAGTACAGAAAAATCAATCACCAAGTGTCAAAAGACTCTCTATTCAAATCCAACATCCCACAAACACACACTCACACTCACACACCATCTCTCATTCATCACTCCTACACTCTCATTTGCATTCCATTCTATTCATTCATATCATTCAATTCCCTCCATTCATCTATCTCCACTCATTGCATTTACCATAAAGTCAACCAAGTAGCGTACCGCAGCACCTGCCGCATAACCATCCACCCACCCATCCATCCCTCCATCCATCCATCCATCCATCCTTTCCTCCCATAAAAAGAAAATTTCAATTCATGCCAAATCCATCCATCCATCCGTCCGTCCGAGAATGTCATTCCGGCCCAATCCATCCATCCCATCCCATTTCCACGACGAGATGTAGGATCTCGCTTGAGAAGATCCCACCTTCCCATCCCATCCCATCCCCCTCTTCACTCAGCGATAAAAAAAGGGCAAGCGAGGAAAGGAAGGGGGATAGGGGGGAAGTAGGTAAAAAAGCCCATTAAAACAACAAAGGCACAAGAAAAAAACAAGAGAAGAGAAAGGAAATGGGGGAAAAATAAAAAAAACGCCGGTAATCGCGAGTCCCCAAAAGTCGCATAAACGCATTTGCTTCACCCCATCGTCACCACCTTATCAATCCGCCTCAGCAAGTTGAATAATCAACTTACTCGCCAAATCCAAGAACGGAAACGGACTCGTGACATCCTTCTCCTCCAGCAACATCCCCTCGGCCGTCTCATACCCCGCACACTTGAAGTCCACCAGATACACCCCGGGCTCCATCTCATACAGCTGTATATCCAGATGCATGACCACCAAATCCACAGGATCCGGGGACCGCGATGACTTACTATTTGGATGTTTTGGGGGCGACGAGAGTTCCGAGGAGGGGAGGGAGCCACCGGTACTGTTCAGCGAGGCGATGGATTGTCGTCGAATATCTAGAAGAAAGGAGGATGAGTAAGTGGGTAAGTAACAGGGGGACCAAGGGAACATGCCGTCTTTGCGCCAACGAACATGAAGAACCCATGGATCAGCGGGGAGCTTGTAGTGCGCGTTTGCATCTACGCGTCCAAATCTAACGTTTCCGGATCGGTTGTCCATTGATTCAGCGTGATGGAGAGATGCACCACTTCCATGCGAGTTGTAGCTGCGGTCATTGTCCCTAGCATATTTAGCTCCACACCCCTTTCAAAATGGGTGTAAACTCACCTATCCTCTACATGTTCCGCTCTCCCACTCGACTCATAGTCCTCATCGACTATCCATTCCGCACCGAGTTTCTGCAGAGCACGGTATATACAGCCAATAGCTTCTAAGGGTTGATTGCGTGATCGAATACCAAATTGCCATTTCGTGGGCTTAGCTTTTCTCGGTGGAACTGGAGTCATACCGCTAGGTCTCTTACTTGCTTCATCAAGCTTGATCTGACTTCGAGAGTGAGGATTGAGTCTGCGCATGGTTTCTAATTTCTCTGCCTCACTCTGGGGATGTGGCTCATGAGCTTCCGAATGGGTGGTTGAAAGGGCCACGCCAGCTTCTCTTCCATTCTTACGAGCTTCCATAAAGTCGCGATGGTAGGCAGGTAAACTGCTTGGTAGGATTCCAATTTTACTCACATACGGCCGAATAGATCTATCAGTTCCAATTGAGCTAGAAGAACGTGGAGACATGGCATCCATGAGTGAACTCGGACGAGTTTGCAATGGAAGTGCTTGTTCTACTCCAGGAGCTTTACCAGTTGGTGGTTTAAATGGTTGAACTACGTTCTCCAGCTTGATACCATCGTTCCAAGCTGGTGGAGAAGGTACTTGGAATAACATTTGTCCTTTATCATCCGAAAGATTTGCTATCTTAAATCAGCCCTGTTCATGACCTCCAAAATTGGAGATTCATATTCTTGACGGAAATTCGAGGAGAGATCTCAAAAAGTTTGAAAGTGTACTTACGATTCGCCTGCATCAGCTTGTTCTCTCTGACAATCAAATACGCATCCTTGATCGCAGACGGCTCCTCAGCAGCCAATGCTTCCTGTACATCCTTAATCCCATATCCCATAGTCTTACTAATCTTCTCCGTAACTTGGTTATGTAGCTTCTCCTGCACCCCAGGGCTAGCATGGGGTGCTATATTTTTCGGTGTAATAGCTTTCATAGGATCCACTCCCGTATCGATAAATTCCTCTACCGGAGGCTGTAAGTACGCCGGCAGATTCTTGACAAACCAAGGATCCAGACGTATATCATCGATCGTAGCTCGGTGGACGGGATTCACAGCCAACATCTTTTTGATCAGTGCCGCTGATCCAGAACTCATATAATTGGGAACCACATATTGGCCTTTGGCGATTTTAGCGAAGAGAGAAGGAATATGTTCGTCGTCGAAGGGTAATCTTCCCACCAGCAAGACGTATAATATGACCCCACAACTCCAAACGTCGACTTCCGGACCTGCGTATAACTTCCCATTGATCACTTCCGGGGCGGCATAATTCGGACTTCCACAGCTCGTCTTTAAGAAATTTCCATCCGTCATGATATTGCTGAGCCCAAAATCGGCGATCTTGACATTAAGGTTCTCGTCCAGAAGTAGATTCTCTGGTTTTAGATCGCGGTGCACAATCTTGTGTCGGTGACAGTATTCGACGGCACATATGATCTGCTGGAAGAACCTCCTCGCCTCATCCTCCTTCATCTTCCCATTCTGCACAATATAATCAAAGAGTTCACCGCCGGCATATTCGAGGACCATAATAATTTCAGACTGCGTTTTGATGACGGTATACCTGTAAATCACTACGTCAGTAAAAACATTCCTTCAACCCACCAAAATGAAACTCCAAACTCACAGCTTGATGATATGAGGATGTCTCAACAACTGCAGATATTCAATCTCTCGTTCCACCCGACCGGCCATATCACGACTAATGAGCTTCTTCCTCGCAATGATCTTGAGTGCAACCTGCTGATTGGTAACACGATGTGTAGCCAGCTTGACCTTCCCAAAGGACCCTTCACCCAGCGTGCGGATGATGTGGTAGGCGCCAATACGCTGCTCAGCCTTTTTCTGCGGAACAGCTGGAATCTGGTGTTGCCGAATGTTACCGCCGTTGGGCACTCGACCGCTGGCGTCGGCGGGTTTATTCTGTGCGCGTCGGTTCGCAGAGGGAGCCAGAGAGATCTCCAGCTCGCCGTCATCGTAGGCGGCGCCGTGCGGCATCATGCTGTTTTGGTGGTGTTTCTTTATGTTTTCGGTTGAGGGGAGGGGGTTGGGTGTTCGCTGGTGTTCTCAAGATGATGGATGCATGCCCCACCATCAAAGGCTCGAGCGCGCCGGCGTTGATGTGGTGGTGAGTTTAGACGAAGCCTGGAAAAGAGGGAGAGAGACCATGGAGGGGTGAATGAGGAGAGTTAATAAAGACTGGGCGGTTTGTGATGTGGTTGTTTGGGTGGGGGAGGGGAGGTTTGGCTTGGAGCAGATCGAGGTGTTGCTTGTCTCACAGGAGTAGTAATCGTATTGTAGTAATCGCTCAGCAGCAGAAGCGAATTACACTCTCATTGTGGGGTTACGGTGCTGGAGCGGGTCAAGTGGCAGGGCGATTGGGATTCCGGGGCCGGGTATTGCCCGTGGTCAAGATGATTAACTGGTTCTGATGTCAAAGCTGAATGAATAGTGTCTCCGTAGCGGAGAGAAGTCAAGTCTTTCCCGTGCTTGTGCTTGTGCTCAGCTTTTCCTCGACATCACGGCTTGTCGGCTCTCAATTAATTACAGTATCTACACTCCCCTCCTCAACCAAATACTCATACAGAACCAGCCAGTATGACTAGATCCAACCCACTTTTGTACCACCAAAACTCCAACCTCGCGAAATCTTTCAGAAGGCAGATTCTTGGCCATTGGTGAAGCAGCCATTTTCGTAGTAATCATGTGCAACCCAACTATTGAATGCCTCTCCAAGTCCATCGTGAGAGCCGTGAATAACGATTCATCAACAAAAAACAGTCCAAGTCCTTCCAGTGAAGTCTTTCAACTGATTTCATGAATATCCCCACCAAACCCATCATCCTCAAAGCACACCCTTCTTCTCTTCCTCCCTCAATCTGTCCACCAGCCGTTCTCGAATATAATCACTAAGTCCCAATCTACACAACGACAAGTCAGTATAACCACCATAAAGCACAACAACCACCTATCCCCACTCCCCAATAGGTACTCACATCCCCTCCCTAGTAATAACCCGATAACTCCCACTACTCTGCCAATTCCCCCTCAACCCCTCCCCACCCCCCTCCTCACTCTTCACAAACTCCCCCCTCCCATCAACCTCCAAACTCCCCAATATATCCTCCGGCCACGCAATGCGCCCATAATCCGGCGGCGCCCTCGCATCACTGACATGAACCCACCCGCCTCTCCCCGCGCCCCCAGCACCACCCTGAGAACTCGCTCCCCCGGCACCATCACCCTTCACACCCCGCCCTTTACTCTGCTGCTGCGGGAAGAACATGCCCCCCGAACCCAGCGCCGACCCGGACGTTGACGCGAACGCCGCAGCCTGGCTCTGCACCAGGGGATCCGAAGGCGCATGGCGCTTTAGGACCTCGTTCAGGAGATGGAGGAAATGTGGATTCTCGACGAGGGAGTCGGTGGTGGGGGGGAGTTGGGTGGTGGTTCCTATGGCGAGGTGTTCGGTCGGTGGATTCGTAGAAAGGAAGGAGAGGATGTAGGAACTCCCATTCGACTTGGGAAAGACATGCTGTAGAAAGAACGAAGAAATGATGAGCATACATCCCCAAGAACGCTGTAGAAGCAATGCAAAAATCCCACATCACAGCCCGTGAGAAACAGGAAATAAAATGGAACATACAATATGAGGATTCGATTGCAATGTAGAAATCGACCTCACCGCCCTCCGCAACGGCGAAGCTAGATTGCTTCTACGCAATGTGTTGATGAGCATGATTATTTCACTTATGTCGTTGGAGAAGGTTGTTTGAAAGGAAATCTTGAACTTGGTCTCTAGGTGCCTCGAAGAGCTTGGACTTGCCCAAATAGGCAATGAGCTTGCAACTGCCGGTACAGATGATGTCAATCCAGGAACCAACAAGGCTGAAAGTCCGACAGAAGCACGAGTGAAACCCTAGATAGTCCAGATGGGGAAAAATTGCGGATATCGTTGCTTACGATTTCCTCTTGCACCATTTCCATTTGCTGCGAAGGGCGTGGGGGTAGTAGAGACCAGGGTCAAACCTCGATTGTGATATGTCACGAAAGCACGTGGAGCGTGGGGTAATGTACGCGAACAGCAATTTTTAGAAAAATCTTGGTATCGTAATTGATCCTAGCTGATCCTCGAATTTACATGGCAACTCTCAGAAACTAACTGTGGATCCCTCGTCATAAAACTTCATCGCTTGCAAAAAAGAGGCTATTCGCCGAACGAAAAACGTACGTCCTTCGCACCAATCTATACAAGCCTTGTGGCATTAATATGTCTATTTCTTCAATTCAACTTCGTCAAGTCCACCATACATCTAGAGAATAATTAGTTTAGGGGCGCTTCGGAAGTGAATATCGAGGACTTACGGTCTCCATCATGATACCAGTGATTTGATATGGGTCAGCATTTGAAGCTGGTCGTCTATCTTCAAAGTAACCGTAACCCTTGGCACCACACTCTCTTGGAATACGGATAGATGCACCGCGGTTGGCGACACCATATGAGAAGGTATCAATGGCACCAGTCTCGTGTCGGCCGGTCAAACGTAAGGTGTTGTCCTCTCCGTAAACCGCAATGTGCTCCTTGTGACGACCCTCAAGCTTCTTGATGGCAGCCTCGATGTGCTTCATACCACCCTCAACACGCATCTCCTTGCTGGAGAAGTTGCTGTGAAGACCAGCTCCGTTCCAGTCACCGGGGATTGGCTTAGGGTGGAAGGAGATCTTGGCACCGAATTCCTCAGCGATGCGATGAAGGAGGAAACGAGCGACCCAGAGGTGGTCACCCACTAAAATGACCCATTAGTCTCAAGTTTTGGAGGTGAGGGGAAAATATAACTCACTCTCAATGCCAGTGCAAGGACCAACCTGGAACTCCCACTGAGCTGGCATGACCTCGGCGTTGGTGCCAGAGATCTTGATACCAGCGTTCAAGCATGCCTTGTAGTGGGCCTCGACAATGTCTCTGCAGTAGACCTTGCCAGCACCAACACCACAGTAGTATGGGCCTTGTGGACCTGGGAAACCATTTACTGGCCATCCGTATGGACGGTCAGACATGTCGAGGAGAGTGTATTCTTGCTCAAGACCGAACCAAGGCTCGTGAGCCGCATGTGCGTTCATCAACTTGACGCACTCGGCGCGGTAGTTGTACTTGTTGGGGGTTCCATCAGGGTCCCAACACTCAGTGAGAACCAAGATGTTTGGGGCACCACGGAATGGGTCGGGGAAGAGGGCAACGGGGCGGAGGTAGACATCAGAGTTGTCGCCTGGAGCTTGGCCGGTGGAAGAGCCGTCAAAGTTCCACTCTGGGAGGTCCTCAAGCTTGAACTCGCCAGATGCTGGGACCTTGGTGAGAGTCTGTAGGAGAAAATTGATTCGTTAGCAATTCTGGTGGTTACTTTTATGGGATGGATGTGCCTGTGGGGTGGGGTTGCGGAATTGGAGTTGGGCTGAGAGAGAGTTTGCTCACCTTGGACTTGGTACGAACACCTCCGGTCGAGTCAATCCAGATGTACCTGAAGGAACAATTAGAGGTCGTTCGCAGATGACGAAATCGCCAGTACTTACTCAGCCATGGCGCTTCCCTTCTGGTCGAGCTTCATGTACTTGAGGAGCTACCTCACAGTCAGCTCCTGCACAATCGCGGGGTTAATTTGAGGACTGGGAACTTACATTCTCCGTGTAGGAGACCGTGGATGAGGTAGCCATGATTGCGGTGGGTATGGAATTTGCAAATGGTGTAGATGGGAGAAGTGTTGATGACAATCAGACCAAGCTGGTTGTAGAGACGAGGGTATGAGGAGGGAAGAGAAAGCCGAGTTGTCGAGCGACAGCTTGTGTTTATATGAAAGCGATAAGGATGGGGGCGGTCGCTAAGGGTGAATTGGCCCCACGGCGCCTTGGAGGCACTGCAGGGGGCTGTGTGTTTGCGGGGATTCGGCTGCGAGAGCTTTTAGTGGGGAAGAGAGGAACAAAGGTCCAGTCAGGTCCAGTCCCAGGGCAATTCATGAGGGACCATGTCACCGTCTCTTCTTGTTCACAGAAACCACTTTCGGTTTACGGTTTCTCGTTTTCCGATTCTGGATTCTGGATTCTGGATTCTGGATTTGGTATCTCGTTTCTCGTTTTCCGTTTCTGGATTTCAGTATTGAGGCCTTTTTTGAGCATCCGAGAAAAGACTTCGTTGTCTCTTGACGACGTATTTCGGCTTTCTCCTAAGGAGGAGGGGTGTGTTGCGAAGCGGCTACTCTCACATGGCATAGAGCATAGATGCAGCAGAGTTTTTTCCAATGCACACGAGCACTGTTACTACTCGTACTGCTACTGCTGCCTGCTAATACTACCTGCTACTACCGGTATAGTTTCTTGTGGTATTTGGTTATTGGCGTTTAGTAATTGGTAATTGCAGATGTTGGTGAGCCTTTTTTGCACGACCTCGAGTCCCTGGGAAACGACTTCTCATGCCACTTCCTGTCCCATGCCCATGGCATTTTGCTCCGATGCTAATAATGCTGTACCTTGACACGAAACCGATTTCCATTTTCCGCATATAGCGGCTACTTTGGATACGATTCTAAACGGAATACATGTTCAATTCAGTCAGTGCAAGTTTCTTCATCTAGCGATTTGATCTACAAGTACGGTAGGTACGTACCTATGTACTTGCTAAGCGGTTGGTTTCTGATAGAGCGGTTCTTTAGATATCTTCCCGCTGAACGTCTACTGGCCAACGGACATGCAACCTCCTCCTAGTCCTGCCTACTGCACTTCCTAAACCGCAGAATTAGTCGAATCTGTTGAAATAGTCGAAACTTCCAAGCCAAAGTTTCACTTTCTAGGCCCGGCCATTCATTTGGTAACAATGCACAAAATATGGAAGTTTCCCCAAAGGATAAAGGTACCTGGATGGTCGGCTCACACATGGTACAACAACAACATCTGTCCTTTCCTCCGTACGCCGAGTAAACTCTTCTTTTCGCACTCCACGGCAGAAATAGAAGCTCTCCCTCCCGTCTGCAGCCCAGTCCAGCCCAGCCAAGCCAGCGAAGAAAATTCAAAAGGGCGTAAAATCCCCGATGCTCACTATGCCTCATACAGTACGATTCTGGTTGGAACACTGGCACTGGCTTGTTTTCCCCCACATCCACGCCTCTTGCTTGCAGTAGGCTAGCTATCTGCATTTAGAATGTCTTTTTTTTCCTTCTTTCCTTTTGAATGCATTTATCCCTACACCAACACCACAAGCCCAGAAATAGAAGTGCACTTTCTACTGGTTCGATAATGTCGGGTGCAAGTGTACCAGGCTAAGGCCAGGGATCCAAAAGAAGCCCAAGACCAAAGTCTTTAGGGCTCCGGCGCCGTCTCCGCCATTCGCATTGCCCCTCCAACACCGACCCAACGTCAGTTCTCCTATGCCGCACGCATTCACAATCCACTTTCACAACCCAACAATCCACCATGAAATCCAAATCTATAACCGTATCCGCCTCCCCCTTTCACTCCCATACTCTCACTCTCCCAACCTTCAACCCTACCTATTTTTACACACAAACATCCCCCTCTTATTAAGTAACACCCAACACTCCCATTCGTCGCCCTCTCCCCTCTTCGGATCACCCAGGGGCCAGGGCCTCACAATCAGCGGGGTAGAACCCTTCGCCTCGTGGTTTGGTGCCGGCACGATAAGGATGTTCCGCCAAGCCAGGATGGTCGTGATTGGTTGAGCGGAGGGGTGTGCGTAAATGTCGGTGTCAACCGAACTTTGGGGTGTGGTCCAGTAGGAGGGAGATTTAAGGAGGAAATATGATGCTATTGGGGTGTGCTTATTGGTGAGGATTTTGGGAGGGATGGGGATGGGGACGGGGATTGGTCATGTGATGGATGGTGTTTACTAGGTACGGAGGTACGGAGGTAGACTGGAGTATGGAATTGGATTGTACGAGTAGTGTACTCAGAACCGCAGATATCATATATTCTAATTGATATCTCTTCAACAATTATTAAGAATGAACGCCAGACAAAAGAACTAAAGAACCCCCCATGAGACTTTTCCCACCCTCAACTTCCTACGTCTACTCCCTACCTATCCATCAACTCCCTACCTATCCATCACCTCCCACCATCTCGCCTTAGTACCCTCAAACCCTCTAAAAACATCGTGAGATTCGCCCATCCATTCCCATCCACCACGCCCGCATTTCAAGGAACAAAATAAGGAAACCAACATCTCTACCCCGTCAAGAATTCAAGTTCCACAACTCCTATACCTACAAAACATAACTTCAAGCCCATACCAATAGCTACCACAAGAAAAGAAAAAATCCACGGGGAAATAACTCTTCCGTCTCATCACATCCCCAGGTATACCAACAAGGGCCCCAGAATCCCCTTACCTAACAAGTATCCAAACAAGCTTTTCCACTTTCTTAACCTCTTAACTTCTTACCTTCCAACTTCCTAGCCTCCTCACTTCCGACTACCTAACCCCTTATTAGGTAATTTGTAAACCCAAGAAAAAGGGGGGTTAAAACTCGCACGCCCTATTCCAAGTTACTTACCAAGTAAATCTATTTAAACATAATACCGAGATACCGAGACGGTCTTTCAACACGTACAGTACTACGAAAGCGAAAGGCGAAAACTTATAGGCTTCGTATACCGTGGGAACCCGTTTTGGATGAGGATGAATGGGTGATGCCTCGTATACTATCAAGGGGTTATTAGAATAAAGAGTCCGAAGCCAGGGTTGGGACTCGGGAGGAATCTGGATGGCTTAATGTGGGTTGGATTTTATGGAAGTGTTATGTAAGTAGGTGGTTTAATCTCGGTGATATTTATTTCATTTTCTTTTGTTATATTAAATTACATTACATTACCTTGATTTTATTTCATTACATTCTTATACCACTACATCACTACCTCCATAGAGATTCCGCAGCGTCGGATATCTCGCTTCTATGTACCAAATCAGAACAAGTAAACTATATATCTCACATTTTCATTGAATATCTATCGGTCAATCAACAATTCAAAGGGTACTACAGTAAACTAGCGGAACCCCCTTTTGCCTCCACCTCTCCCCAACACACTTGACTTACAGTATACCCAAACCCCTCATCCCTCCTCCCCAAGAAATAAGAAAAGCCACAGCCCCTTCTCCCCCCTCTCCCCCATAATTCCCTTCATCTCCAGAAACAACAAAATCTCCCATTCCATCTAGTGAAGAAAACCCTGGATCCCAAAATCCCCATCGCTTCAAAATAGACGGGAATGCACCCATCCACCCATCCATCCCTCACGAACCCCCCCACCCCCCCTTTTTCC